CTCTGAGAGGACATGGATTTTTAGCTCTGTAGGTAGATACCTAGAAATGGAATTGTAGATTGCTTTTAATAGTTCTAATGGGACCTCACAGTGGCTCCAGTGTGTATTTCCTAATGACATTGAAAGACTTGAACGCCTTTTCGTGTATTATCCATATTTCTGTAGAGGGATCCATGTACCTTTGGGGAAATGTCTTATTTGGAGGTTCTACAGACCTCAGAGGCAGTTATCCCTGGGGCACTGGTTATTATGGGGAAAGGACACATAGCAGGGAGAACAGTGTTTTTCAACTTTTTTTATCTGATGGCCCACCTGAACCTATAATTAAACTTCCGTAGCACACTTAAATTATGTTGATCAAAAAAGATGAGTAACAAAAAGAGTATACTTAACTGTGCTTTGAATTTCTTTCAAAAACAATTAATGATCTTCAAAAATTTTCACAGCACACCTAAGATCCTCTTATGGCACAGTGGTTGAAAATCATGGATGCAGAGTGTGGAGGAGTCCGGGTGCAGGTTTTCAGATTCTCCCTCCGGGGCAGAGGCTCACATACCACATGCTTCTTTCTCCAGTGGTAAAATGCAGCAATAGCACGCATAGTCTCTGCCCAGGGGAGCCTGCTGGAGACTCTGAGTACAGGGAATTTTTTGTGGCCTGGTGAGATAGGCACTCTCTGTCACGTGACCAACTGTGATTACTGAAATTCTTAACTCCTAGAAGGAAAGCAAGCATTCACATAAATCCCACTGTTTGTATAAACAGGCTGGCTGGTACAGCAGGATTCAGTACCCTAGGAAGACAAAACAGCCTTATCAGTTAGAAACACAGGCAGTGTTCCCAAAGCCGAGTGTTCAGATGCCAGGGAAGGACCAGCCCCACAAGCGAACCCTTCTGACGAGCAGTAGGTCTGCTGTGTTAGCCCTCTCCTGCACGTCTAGTTGCATCTTTAGATCATTTTTTAAATTGGGTAGTCTTTTTACTTTTGCTGCTAGGGTTCTTTACATATCCTGGATATGTCACTTATCAGATAGGTGTTTTGCAAATGTTTTCTCCCAGTCTGGGGCTTGTCTTTCCCTTTTCTTAATGGGGTTCCTGGGAAGGAGTTTGGGACAGGAACTGATGAGCACATACACAATGGCTCTGGCTCCTATGTGGAGAGTGGATTGCAGGGGTCAGGAGGGGATCAGGGAACCCTGTTAGAAGGCCACTGCAGGGGTCTGGGTGAGAAGGATGATGGGAGCTTGGATGGGGAGGTGACCGGAGGAAAGGTGGAAAACAGCTGCATCTGAGAGCATGCAGAAGGTAACACTGACCAGGCGTGCGAAACGCACACTGCAGATTTCCAAGGGGAGAAAGAAAGGCAGCGCTCCCAAAGTTGTCCACAGAACACATTGTTACCATTTTGATAGCGAAACTCCTGTTCATTTGCAGGATTTGAGTGTTTGGTAATTTGGAAATGTGGGACCTGATGAACTTTAGGGTCTCCCTTTGTCCTTACAAATCTATAGTGCCACATAGAATCTTTTTTTTTTTTTGAGACAGAGTCTCACTACGTCACCCTTGGTAGAGCGCTGTGGCATCACAGCTCACAGCAACCTCAAACTCTTTGGCTTAAGCAATTCTCTTGCCTCAGCCTACCGAGTAGCTGGGACTATAGGCACCCACCACAATGCCCAGCTACACAAACAATCTTTTAGAGTTTACTTTAACAATACTAAAATATTCTGAGGCACATGGCTTGGTGTATTATTAGAGATTGTTTATTAGTCACACATGTATATCTATAATGCCAAGTTTTGGCCCAAGAAAATAAATTCATCCCTGAAATTGCACACAATCTATTCATGAAGACCTTTGCAGAAAGGAAGGGCAGAAGCATTGCTAGCAGAGAAAGCATGAGGACGGGGATGAGGAAATTCATATTCATGCATTAACCCAATTACTAGACATACCTTGCAAATCTGGACTGCTGTCAGTTTAACATGGGATTTCACATCATTCTGTCCCTAGTGACACAGACGGTATTATAAATGAAAAATCCTGTCCCCAGGCTAGATCCAGAGCTGCTCTCGTTTGGGTAGCATATGCTATCACAGAAGAACCTTTATTTAAGGCTGGAAATTCTATTTACCCAGGAGCCCAAAGCACTTTTTTTTCAGTTCTTGCAAAATAAACAAAACACCCTGCAAAGTAGATGCAGAGAAGACCTGAGGGAATGGAAAGGAATATGAAATCAGGTATGCGGGTCAGTGTCAACGCAATAAATCAGGAGTGCAGCCGCGAAACATATTTTCTCCTCTGATACTAAAGAGGGGAGGCTCCATGAATCAGTGAGACAAAGCAAGAGTATAGAAATTAAGATATATAATGTTTTATTTATGCACATATATTTTTCATAAAGTAGGTTTTGTTGTATTGTTGTTTTCTTTTGAAAGAGACAACGAAAGGCTCTAAAATTCCTGTTTTGCCTGGTGGGAGCTGCATGATACCGACGTGGATCAGGAAGACACAGGCATCACTCCAAGCCTAGCTGGGCCTGATGTCCTGAGTCGATGGAAAATGTGGACAGGAGGTGGTGGCATTCAAGGACATCTGCTGTCAGGTGCACGATGCAATCACCTACCCTTCCTCAAGGAGGTGCTGCCCCTTCTGCCCTCTCTGCCTCAGGCCTTTGTACGTGCTGCTCCTTCTTTCTGAAAGCCCGTTGACTCCACACATCCCCACGTCTTGTGAATTCATTCTGTGGGTCTCAGATCCATTGTCACGTCCCTGCTGTCTGTGCTGTCAATGCATTTTAAGGAATATAAACCTGGTACAATGTTGAAGGCCACTTTTCAGAAAAAGAATAATGATTATGTAAATTTGAACTTAGATACACACATAATTAGGGCCCGTCTGGAGCACTGGAAAGGGCCTAGGCGAGTGGGGGAGACTCAGGCTGAACTTTCGTTAGCTTTGCAGTGAGCCCGCTGCCTCTGGCATTTGCCCGCAGAGCCCTCATCCAGGTTTGTAATCCCACATGCACTTGTGTCATTATCTGGTTCCCGCCCACTCTCCACAGGACTATAATTTTCTTGAGGGCAGAGAGTGTGTCTCATTGTGTTTAGTCTAGTTTCTGGCATAAGGAATGTCCTCAGTAAATATGATTTGAATCAATAAAACCTGAATTTTAAATAATAAAAACTGGTTCCCATTTGTTGAGAGTCTCCACTTGCCAGACCCTGGATGTCAGTACAGAGGGTCAAGAGTGTGTTGACTCCTCAGCCTGTAAAGACATGGAAGAGAAAGCCACTGAGAGGACTTGGGACAAAAGGGAGGCTCCAGTGGTGTGGAGGGCTGCCTGTGACTCACAGAGGTGTCTTCTGATCCCTACTGTGGACAGCACTGTGTCTTCCCAACCCCAACTAGTCCTTTATCAAAGGAGACGATGCTAAAGCTGGTGCTTCCTGATTTCGACTGTGAAACAGAGAACCCGGCTTATACACATTCTTCACAGCCATATCCTTAAACTTGGGGTGGTTATTTGGTACCCCATGTGACATCTGGCCATGTCTTGGGGGCATTTTTGATGTCATGATGAGGGGATACTACTGGCATCTAGGGGATAGGGCCAGGAAGCTCTTCAGTACCCTAAATGCATAGGACGGTCCCACAGTCCACGAGGTCAAGACTGTGGAGGCTGAAAAGCCCTGTTTATCCCTTAGCCTCCCTCTTTATCCCTTTTCTGGACATGGACTGTCTAAAGTTTGTTTTTCTCTCTGCCTTCTATACTGAAAAGTAAGGCGATATTGCTTTGAGGATAAGGGAGAAGATATTTATTGGAGTAAATATCATGTAATTTCAATCGTACATTCAAGTAATAAAAATAACTCTAATTCTTGTAATGGGCACTGTTCTAGGTCAGTGAGTTGTATTAAAACACAGATTCCAAGTCAGCAGGGTCTGTGGTGGGGCCTGGATTCTACCCTTCCTCCTAGCTCCCAGGGGACACCAACGCTGCTGGCCTGGGGCTGCGCTTTGAGTAACACATTTCTAGGCATGTGGGATACATCAGCCAATAAAACCAAGATGCGCCGAGCTTGAGAAGTTTCTAGTCTGGCTAGAAGAGTGCTGGACCCAAGGAAAGCCAGAGAGGATGAAGTCAGAGGCACTCAAGAGTCTTAGATGATCAGAGCTAACAGAGAATCTGGAGGATGTCTAATGGACCCCCCACTGGAGAGGCAAGGGAAATGAAGGTCACCGTGGGGAAGGGAGTTGGGCAAAGGCACACAGCTGGCTGTGGCAGCTTTTGGACAGGGCTGTCAGCTTCCTGTTCTCCAGAATTAGCAGGGTCCTTAGTGACCTCTTGGAGAGACAGCTCAATCAGGGTAGGGAATGGCCAGCAGCTTTACTGACTGCAGGGACGGAGGTCTGGGGACATCGCCACACTGCTCTGGATCTAGGAAACGCGGACATTTTACTTCACTCGTCTATTTCATAACACACACGTGAACCCTGAATATTTTGGGGGAAGATACTAGATTCTGTCCAATTGGCCCTTTGTGTTTCTTCATGATTAAATCTGTAGCAAGGATGAACCAGAGTGAGACTATGGAGAAGTAAATTCTGGATGTATTCAGTCGTGTGGTCAGCAAGGGTAAGGGGTAAACCAAACAGAAAGAGGCCAGTCACAACCTTTCCTAAGCTGGGAGTAGAATGACAAAGCCTGAACACTCAAGAGGCTCCTGTTCTCATCTTTCAAGTCCCACCTGAAAAGGGCTTTGGATTAGAGCACCGTTTGCATGGATGGCAGTGAAAAGCAATTGTTTCCTCCACTTCTCCTACCTGGGAAGGCAAACTTTTAAGTTCATACCCGCTTGATTGAAACAGTAGCAAATTTCATGGAGCAGCTAAAAGAAGAGCAATAGAAGGCATATCGGGCATAAATAATATAACAAAAGAAGAAAACGGAGAAACTTTGCATTAGTACTTTTTGATGTCAATTTATTATTCATCCCTTTGCCAATATTCAAACAGGCAGGCAGTCATAAAACATTCAAAAACATCCTTTAAAAGAGGCATCTGGTTTACCTCAGTTCCTTTTTAGAAACCAGGAAGTCAAGGACCGTGGCATTTATGGTACAGCAGTGTTAAAAATACTTGTTATTAATCTATCAAAAATACTGCTTCAGGGTCACTACTTAGAAAATGTTTTGTTTAAACTTTATGAAAGGCCAGCAGGCAGTCAGACAATGGTTTGTAAGGGAAAATTCAGTAAATCAGCAATGTCCTGTTACCAAATTTTTGACTCCTCAGTTAATATTCTGTTAGAAACAAGAGTGTTGACAAAGCCTACTGCTCAGTAATTAGCATCCTGTCAAATCTCTCCAATCAAGACCAGCTCACTGCATCTGCTCCTAGTTAAAAAATGCATCGTGGGCAATTCTGATCTGACCTTCGGGGGCCCCCCCCCGCCATGCTCAGAACCGCATTCAGTGTGCACGCCATGATTGCCATTTACACAAAATAAGAAGGCCTCTTCATTCAGCAGTTCTAAGGGATTTTGCCTAATTCTAACGATCTGCCACGCCATTTTAACTTCTTTGATAAATGTCTATCCTTGTGATGTACACATTTTCTGTCCCCATCATAAGATATCTGTTCCTGAGATAGACAACTCCTCAGAAGTTAAATCATTGTGGAAATAAAAGAAATAAAAAATGGAAAAGCAAAAACAAAGCAAAACAAAACAAAGACCTTAACTGCCTCTCCCCAGCAGGAGCGTGGGGAGGAGGCATCCTGCTGAGTCTCTCCCTAGCTTGGTTTGCTCTCGTTGCTCTGGGTGCTTTTGCCTTTCCACGAACTGTCCTTGGAATAGAGGTTGTGGTCCTTGATGTAGGTGATGACAGCATCAGGGAGCAGGTACTTCACGCTCAGGCCCTGGCCCAAGGCTCGCCTGATGTATGTGGCGCTGATCTCGTTCTGCACAGGCTCCTTGGCGAGGTGAATGTTGTGCTGGTACCTCTGCAGGATGGGTGACTCTGCGACGTATCCCTTCGGGTCATAACCCATGCGGCCCACGCACACCAAGCCAAACTTCTCCACTATTTCCTGGATGTGTGCGTCCTTCCAGAGGTGGGGGGTCTGGAAGCTCTTCAAGAAGTCTGCCCCACAGAGGAGCTTCAGCTCAGGCACAGCTGTGAAAACAAGGGTGGACCCAGCAAAGTTACAGAAGGGTCAGCTGCTGGGAAAGAGAAATCACATACCACTAGCAAAATGTTTTGTGTGGAGCGTATCGAGATTTCAATGTCTCTGTGTCTATGAGTTAAAAAGAATGAGCATGCAAACGAATGTGCAACTATTGTAGGGAGTACAGTTGAAATTTATAATTTTATCAATAGTTTGTTTAATATTGGCAAAGTGCCAGGCTATACAAAAGTTTTGTTTTGTTTTGTTTTGTTTTTCAGCAGAAGTCTGTCTGTAGTCATTTGAGCCATGCCAGAGGGCTCCCAGGTGGCTGTGCCTCACCCAGAACCACGTCTTCTGATGGAAGGTAAGGTTCTTAAAGTGCTAAGACCAACAAGCTGTGGGCCTCAGACAAGTGTCTGCCCTATTTGAAATCTATTTCAGCCATCGTGTTACTGAACAGTACTAGGACTGGTATACTTACATAAAAACCTCATCATACAGATTAACGATAAAGGCTCTTTGGATACCAAGAAAGCTGGTGGTCTTTTCATTTCAGCTTCAAAAAAAAAAAAAAAAAGAAGAAGAAGGTCGAGAACAACTGATCAATGTGGATAACCCTTTGGAATTTGTTCTAAAAGAATGCTGATTGTGATGGTAAAATAATACCTAATATTTATTGGTGATTTTTATGGGCACTATTAGCACGTGCTTTGTGTGTATAACACTAACAACAGTTTTATGAGGTAGATATTCTGTGCCCATTTTGTAGAGGCGAAAACTGAGGCCCAGAGAGGCAAGTGACTTGCCTGAAGTCACCAAGTCAGAATTCAAACCCAGGCAGCTTCCTGCCACCCAGGACGTTTGTAACTGCTAGGTTCTGCTGCCGCCTGCTGGTGAGAATCTGCACTTGCATCATAACCAAGAAACCGCCCCTGGCGTGCTATGGACCAGACTGATTCTCCTGGCCTGGTTCCTGTACCTCCTAAGTGGGCTAATCTAAAAAGGAAGAACCAAGTCCACTGTAGAAGCAAGCTGCAGGCTATATGGTCCTTCTAGAGGCTGCTTCCAGCTTTTGTAGATGGCAAAGGCTAAGCTTTTAGGATGCTGACATGTCACAGTCACCACGAAGCCTTGGTAAGGAGGGCCTTCAGGGCTACCAGGCACTGTGGAAAAGCTTGGTGTAAATGGTCAGTTTAGGGTTCTGATTGTGGAAGCTTTGAGGGAATCTGAACTGGAACTGGAGAGCACTACAGCGGCTGAGGAATGGACAGTAAGAGACGGGAGGTGCCATGGAGAGGGCAGAGTCTTGGCCTCAGGCAGGCAGATGCTGCTGTGGGACCGGAGCCAAGACTTTTCTTCCTCTGGGCCTCAGTTTCCCCACTCATGAGATGATGGACCCTGGACTCATTTAAAACGACAGATGTAATTATGGAAATACAGTTTTCAAATGCTCTGGAAGCATGAGATTGGTATAGTAAATGATATTCAAACATTCCTTCCTCATTCACACATGAATTCATAGTCATTACTATGACTGTAGAACTAGACACCTTGGAAATTCTGGTTCTGCCATTCAGAGGCATGTGTGATCTCAACTTTAAATGAGGATTATTAATAGTACTTACCTTACAGAGTTATTTTAGAATTGAATGAGTTTATAAATGTAAGGTACTTAGAACAGTGCTTGACGTGGAATGGGATGTGTGTTAACCATTCTTCCTTCCTTCATTCATGGATCCATTTACTCATTTATCTACCAATCTATTCATCAAAACAGCCATTCAACATTTATAAAATACCTCTTAAGTATATGGCCTTTTAAAGCCACTAAAACTACATTTACAGTTAGTCAGTCAGCTGGGAGTTGTGGCTCCCTCCTGTACTCCCAGCACTTTGGGAGGTTGAGGTGGGAGGATCACTTGAGGCCAGGAGTTCAAAACTAATCTGAGCAACACAGTGAGACCCCATCTCTGCAAAAAGGTAGAAAAATTATCTGAGTGTAGTGGTGCATACCTGTATCTCAGATATTCAGGAGACTAAGGCAGGTGGCTTGCTTGGGCCAGGAGTTTGAGGTTGCACTAAGCTATGATGATGCCATTGCACTCTAGTCAAGGCAACAGAATGAGACTATCTCAAAAAAAATTATTCAGAAACTCACACTTTTCACTAATTTAGGATGTTCCCATTGCTCACAACATACATGTAGATTTGAACAGTTCTTCATCTGTGAGATTTTACTCTAATTTCTTAATTATCCAACCACTATAGTATAGCAGAAGACCAGTGTTTGGCTTCTCAAACTATTGGATGGTTTCTGCATGGTCCTTCTGTAGGGGAGGTTCAGTGATGTGCTCTTAATTTCAGGGACTGCTGGGGCCTGTGATATAAACCCTCTGTTCTCACAGGCCAGAGAACAGAAAAGATACCACTTTCTTCTCCCAGTAGATAGTAGATTTTTTTTTTTTTTCTGGTGAGGACAATTTCTACATATTGGCTTCTGTATTGAGTACCATTTGATTCATGACCAGTGACAGTAAGGAACACTATTCATTTTGAGCCTTACCTAGAGGGAACAAATGCCCACACTTCCCTGGCTCTCCCAAATCAAAGGCACAGCGGGGAGGCTGGTAGTGCCTGTGATTCCATGATGACTGTACTGTGGGATGGATCACTTCTATGGCAGCATGTGCCTCACATCCCATCTCTGGGGAGTCTTATCTTCAGGGATCACAAAGGCATTCACGCATTTCTTCCAAGCCCATTCATAACATGGTGGAATTTTCAGACCATGTGATCCTGTCCAAGGCCAAAGTATGTAACTCCAGAGTACAGAATAAAGGCTGTCAATATGATTTATCCTAACAGTGAAATAGTGACATAAGTAGGATGACCTGTTTATATAGGTACTGGGGGGCAGGGTATCCTATCTTTGAGGAGCCAAGAGCTTTTAAAAGCAGATAAAGAGGAAATTTACATAGAGGAATTTACAATTCACATTTTCATATGTGAATGAAGTAAAGGCCATTGGGACCTTTTCTTTGAATGTTTGATTGTCCTAAGTCTGTGACATCTAAGAGCACCAACTTTGAGGTTGGAGGGTGCTGGGTTTGAATTTTAGGTCAGTTGGGACCTTGGGAAAGTTCCTTAGCCTATGGACCTGTTTCTTCAGCTGTAAGATGGGGTGAATAAAACCTACTTGAAAGTTATGAGAATTGAGTGATGGACAGAATGCAATGTAAATTTCTTGCCTGGTGCAGCATGGGAATGTGGCCACTGTGAGGTCTGTGATGGCACCTCACAGATACCTCAGAGATGAAGCATCTGCTGGGTGGCACCCACACTAACCACACAAGGCCACCTTGGGATATTCAGTGTACAATGTTAACAGGTAAAGTGCCTGTATGTATGGATGAGAAATTCTCTGAACATTGCTGAGCTGTGCTTAGCCCCATCGGTCAAAGCTGGGGGCCATCTTCATGAAAGACAGAGTCAGGCTCATAAGGGTGGAGGCATCATCGATTCCAAAGTGTCACACCCAAGCAGCCCAGAATTTAGCAATCCATACAACTCTGGGTGAGTCCCAGGAGACTGCAAATCATAAGGGTGATGGGAGAGCAGGGCTCTGCAGCCATCAAATGCTGAGCTCACCACATACTTTGCAACCCCAGAGTGTATCAGCACACGCATAAAATACACAGCCCACAGAATGGTCCTCTGAAAAGATGCCACTAGTAACACGCATGCCATCTTATCAAAAGCCAAATGTGTGCTAAAAAAATCCTTGACCTTCCTTTTTTTAATTGCTCTAGTTTTCTCTGATCATAAACACGAAATCTGTGTTTGTTATGAAATGTATGGAAATATGTAAGTAAAGTAGAAAATAACAACAATACTAATTCTGATTTTTACAAACCCCCTACATATTTTGGTGTGTTAGTCTTTTCCACACATTTAGACATGCATACAGATGTGGAAATATATTCCCATTTTTATATACTTGAGACTATATACATTATTGTATCCTATCCTGACTTTTCTCCACTTATAGTATTTCTCCATATCATCAAAAACTTTATGTAGGTTCTTCATCCTGCACATACAACATAATTTACTTACACATCCTTTTATATTTATTTATTGAGAATGAGTCTCACTCTGTCACCTTGGGTAGAGTGCCATGGCTTCATAGCTCACAGCAACCTCAAACTCCTGAGTTCAAATGGTCGTCCTGCCTCAGCCTTCTGAGTAGCTGCGACTACAGGCTGTGCCACCACACCTGCTTTGTTGTTTTTTTTTTTTCTTCTATTTTTAGTAGAGACGGTGTCTCACTCTTGCTCAGGCTGGTCTTGAATTTGTGAGCTAAGGAGTGATCCACCCACTCTGGCCTCCCAGAGTGCTAGGATTACAGGTGTGAGCCACTGTGCCTGGCCCCCTTTATATTTAAACATTGAGTTTGCTTTTACGTTTTGCCATTGTAAAAACAACTATAATAAACATCTTTCTGCATACATCTTTGTCCCAATTTCTAATTCTTTCCTTAGCCAGATTCCTATAAGGGAAATTTATCAAGAAAAGACCACAAAGATATTTTAAAGTCTCTGATATATTTTGGTAAATTGACAAGCCCACTTTTCATTCTATAAACTTCCCTTTTTAATAGTTACTTCAGAACAAAACAAGGTAAGTAGGAGTGAGGGTCTAAATAGAGAGAAAGAGAGAAGGGATGAGTGCTCAACAGTATAGGGCCAAACAGAACAGGCTTGTAGCTTCTAGAAAAGTGTATCTGAAGAGAATATGGGAAGAGCTTTGGCAGAGGGAAGGAGCCCATATTAATGACCGCAGCTGGGACCAGTTTCTTAGGGAAGGTAGATGCTGAACTGGGCTCCATTTACACCCCATCTCCAGCTTGGAGTTGACTGTTCCTGCCTGAGCCCACACCCTGTCCTGGGAAGGTGCTCAGGGAATATCTGCGGAATCCTTTAAGGAGGGCCTGCTGAGCCGTAGGTGATGCCGAAAGGAGGCAGAGGCTGGGAATGAGACAGGGGTGGGCGGGAAGGAGCTTGTACTTGATTTCTGAGAGCAGACAGAGAGACCGGAGAATACAGTAAACATTGTATGTAGACAGGAGACGCTGTAACTCCTTCTGAGACTCCTCTAGCACACGGTTCCCAGAACTGGCTATGGAGCGGATCCCCAGAGTGCTTATTAAACATCCAGATTCCGAGGCCCCACTCCCACTCTGGAGGTCTGGAACAGGCCTGGGAATTAGTGTTTTCAACAAGCCCTACATTCTGCTGTGAGTAATCCTTTGGCCAGCATTGGGGGATTGCTGCATGGTACCTTTAGGGCCTGGTGGCATTTCCAAATCCTTTTAGAAGACTGTTTCCTAATCATGTTCTAGGGAGCACTAGTTCTGAGAAATATTGATAAAAAATTCATATAATGCATATGGCCATAGGTAAGGCTCTGAAAAGTCCTGCAGCAAAGAAACCATTTCATATGTGATTAACCTTGGCACTCCTGAATCTTTCTGATCTGGAAGTAGTGTTCCACCAACCAAAGTCGTGAGACCCTGCTGTAAGGAAACTGTAGATGGGGGCCTGCTAGAATCTTCCTTCCGAGACCACACAATGCTCTTGCCTGTTTGCCTGGGAGGGCTATGCATTTGACCCTGACACCAAGGTAGCTCATATGCTGAAGTCACAGCCAATAAGCTTCCATCAAATGCCAGGAGATGAGAACAGGGGAGAAACCCAGGCTTACAAATTAAGATAACCCAAATTGATTTTAAATCCCTTTAAAAACAAGTTTCCTCTCCTGAGCAAAGTATTGAGTAACACTGCTATAAAGTGTTAGTCTCTCTGTTCAGATTTTATAATGGCATAGTTTATACTCAAAAGGCTAAGGCTTTAAAAAGAACCCTAGCAGCACTCATTAGTTTATCCTCATGTGGCCCTGACCGTAATCCATGTCATAAGCACAAGTCACAAGGGTAGGTAAACTCCTTTGGGGCACAAAATCCCAAATTAGCATAATAATTTACAGTGGGTAGTAGGAGAACAATCAACTCCTGCTCCACGCTGGACAGAGGGTGTAAATGGAGCCCAGTTGAGAATGTACCTTCCCTGTGAAACCTGTCCCAGCTGCGGTTGTTAGTATGGGCTCCTTCCCTCTGCCAAAGCCCTCCCCATATTGTTTAATCTGACCTTTCAACCTCAGAGATGTCACCCAACCAGGCAGGCCTCTAATGCCTTACCTGTGCCCAGAAGGTTGGGCTCAAGTCCTCTGCAGCTGTGACCCGACCCCCACCCCAGGTCTCACAGAATCCCTGGCATCTTCTGCAGACAAGAGGGTCACACCCACCTGCATGGCCTGGGGAGAGTGCCTTGCCGTGGTCGGGCCCTTCTGTCTGGGGCGGAGATCTGAGCAGTTTGCTGTGATGATGCCTGCATTGTAAACACATGGCTCAGGGTGTCTGTCCTCCAGCCTTCAAAGCCACCCGGGGCTTGTCAGATTTTAAGTCTCAACCTGCTTTTATCCTTTCTAGTTTGCTCCTTCTGCAAATACTTGCTGAGGGCCTACGATGTGGCAGGCATGGTGCTAGGTGCTGGGATAGAAAGCCATCCAAGGTCCAACATAGCTCCTTCCCTCTGCCAATTGTTTAATCTGACCTTTCAGCCTCAGAGATGTCACCCAACCAGGCAGGCCGCTAATGCCTTACCTGTGCCCAGAAGGTTGTGCCTCCTGTGTGAGAGCAGGGAAATTAGCTCATTTCTACTCTTTTTAACATTTTCTTCAATATTTTTCACTTTTATAAAAGGAATCAGTATCCAGTTGGGTTTAAAGACGTGCCTATGAGACCTGAGTTCGTAACACATGTTTTTGTTTGTGGAGCGTGGATAACACCACCACCTCCTTTTAGACTTCCGTGAAGGCAAACTAGCCACGCACAGTATGTGCTGGCACAGCACATGGCCCACTGCTGGCTCCTGAAAAATCTGCTCACCCTTATTAGAAGCTAGCACTTTAGGAGGCAGTAGGGTGATGGCCAAGCAGGGCTTGGAGCCAGATGGCCTGGGCTGCATCCCTGATCCCCTACCAGCTGGCTGTGCGACTGTGGGTGAGTGATTGCAGGTCTCTCTGTGGATGGTCCTGTAGCTGCCAACAAGGAATCATGATCGTGCCCACCTTTGACGGGTGGTCATGAACACTAAAGGAGTTAACACGTGCCAAGTGCACTGAGCATTTCAAGTGTGATTAGACTGACATCAGTGTGGCATGCCCAGCGTTTAAAGCAATCTATGTTCTGCAAGTCAAGAGACGCCTGTGCTTTCTCTTCTTATCAAACACAGGCACTCACCACGCACCCTTCTTTGCATCAATTTGCTTTTCCATCTTCCACTTGCTGTATTATGCATTTGCTAGAGCTGTATTTGGGAGGGGGCAGTGCCTAGCGGAAAAAGCGTATACTTTACAGCCAGAGTGGGTGGGTGGGTTCAAGGTCAGGCTCTCTTCCTTGGAATGATCCTGGACGGGTCACTAACAGTCCAGGAGGAGAGCCTCACTGGCCTCATCTACACCCAGCATCGCAAGACTGTGATGAGAAAGTGCTTCTCCCTGCGAAATGCTGGGCAAGTGGCCTGCTGCGGATTGCTATTTGGGAAGGAGGGCACAGTGCAGATGCTAAACTGTGGAATTACTGTCTGCTTCTAACTAGCAGCTGTGGAATCTTGGGGTCTCCAGTTTGCCTACCCGTAGAATGGAGGGCAGTGACAGTACATAACACAGAGAGCTGCTGTGGAGACTAACTGAAAAGCTTAGGACCGGCCTGTCCAGAGAAAGAGCCCCGTCGATGTTAGCTGTTATCATTACCATTACTCGCAGTCTGTCTCCCCACCACATTGTGAACAGGGCCCTGTTTAATTCATCTTTACATTCTTAGCACCTAGGAACATGCTCCCCTCCACGAATAGGAAGACTGGACACGTGAATACATTTAACCTGCTCCAGAGCCCTTCCTGATTATCTCATAGGAAGCTTCTTACAGCCTGGCTGGACGCTTGCTTTAATCATTGTTTTCTTACTTTGGTTTTGATCCATCTCTGAAGATTCATTCCTTGGTTGTGTGGGCTCTCCTGTCAGACTGAGGTACATTTGAGTCTCACCTGCACTCTCTAAAATCTCCATTTCCTTATTGGTAAATGGGGCTGCACCCACCTACCTCTCCAAGTTGCTGAGCTGACTAGATATAACATATGTGCAAGAGCTTGGCACATAGAACACATGATCAATAAAAGGTGGTGATTGGCATTTAATTTACTTACCTTGAAGCTGCTAGTTCAAGTTGACCCTACTCTGAATACTAGCTGAAATCTCTGACCTTTGTTATGCAAATGTCACTTTCAGTTCAAAATGCACCTTTTCCACAGACTTCACTCTGCCTCTTTGAGGCAGTGGCCACTGCTTCCTCATGCTGCCTTCCTACCTGATGCCCTGGGCCTGTGGACTGACCCTGGGAGCATGCTCTCTGCTGCCTCTGTGGTCTAGACCCCAGAGACGGTACCTGTGGCAAGAGCAGAGGCAGCCACATCACGTCCTAATCTGCAGATCCCTGCTTCTGAAGATGGCTATCCCCGTAGCTTCAGGGTTGAACAGCCTAGGGCTCCACCTCCTCCTTACTTGTTGTGTGACAGTGATTAACTTAGCCTCTCTGAGCCTCAGTGTCCTCATCTGTAAAATGAAGACACCATAAGACCATGTTTGCAAAGGACACATGAAATGGCGAAGATGACCACAATGGACCACATCAGATGGCTTGTGAAGGCCTTCTCCCCACCACATGGGAAACAGAGGAGTGAAATAAGTTATCAAATGCCCTAAAGGTATGAAAGTTGGCCTAGATTTTAAAAATTAGCATAAAAATGAACAATCTGACAAAGAGAAAAATAATCTTCCATAAGCCCGGCAGTGAATTTCCATCCTGGAGATATCTGCTACTGTCACTATGATGTAGGTTTGCGGTGGAATTTATCAAGAGAATAGTAAATGGAGCAAAGGGTGGCGTGGGCTTCTACCACACTTCTAAATCACCTGACTACAATTCTTTTTCTTTCTTTTTTTCTACTGGCAGGGATCACACTAATATACCTGACTACAATTTTAATCAGGTTTTTGATATCAGAAACAAAACAAAAACAAAAACCACTTTGGGTAGTTTTAGGAAAAGGTTTGTCATCAAACACAGTTTCTAATGTAATTGATAGTTTAAAGATGAAGCTCACTCTAAATAAGAAAATAATCTTTTTTTTTTTCCAAGACAGTGTCTCACTTTGTTGACCTTGGTAGAGTGCCATGGCATCATAGCTCATAGCAGCCTCAAACTCTTGGGCTTAAGTGATCCTCTTGCCTCAGCCTCCCAAGTAGCTGGGACTATAGGTGTCCACTACAATGTCCAGCTACTTTTTTAGAGATGGAGTGTTGCTCTTGATCAGGCTGATCTCGAACGCCTGAACTCAAGCAATCTACCCTCCCCAAGTGCTAGGACGATAGGCATGGGCAACCACGCCTGGCCCTAAATAATAAAAAATCTTGATCAGCTATTTGGTAAAACTGTGTTTACCAATTTATATCAATAATTTTTAACCTTGGCTGCACAAAATAAATAATCTTGGGACCTTTATAAAAATAATCATGTTTAAAGTCCACCCCAGACAAATCAAATTCTCTGGGGGTAGGGGTGGGAAAAGGTGAACATTTAAGAAAAGCTTCCCAAATGACTCCTATAGTTGGGGTTGAGACTCCTGGTTTGGATGGTCTCCGTACTAACATAAGCCTCATTCACATACTTGGCAACTGAGTCTGTGGGGACCAACCCCAGCCATACATTAGAATCACCAGGAAGTTTTTAAAAACCTGATGCGCCAACCCACACCAGTGACATCTCAGTCTCTGTCTTGGGTGAGACCCAAACATGAGTACTTTTAAAAGCTTCTTAGGAGATTCCAGTGCACAGTCAGCATTGAGAAGAACTAAAGGATATAGTAAAAAAACAACAAAAAGAATGTGTTCCGCAAAATCTTCATTCACACCTACATTTTGCAGCAGAAAGCACTAGTAACCGTAAATGGTGTTATGTTCAACTCCTATCCATGAATGGCTTCTTTGTTTCAAGGACAAATGACAGGCCAGGGCTAGGGAAGCAGGGAAGGTGGCACCTACCATGAACCAGGTGTTTTGCCTGCATCATTTCATTTAATTCACACAGTGTCCTCGTGAAGTAGGTGATATCATTTCCATTTTATTAGGTGAGTAATTGAGGCTCAGGTAGGTTAAATCACTTCTATTGAGTCACTCAGCTAGTAAATTGGCTCCCGAACCCGTGCCCCAGGCAACACTGCCTCTCACAGGGTGGAGGAAAAAGTGTCTGTTTCTGCCTCCTTACTAATGCGGAATTATTTGTTGTATTATCCAGTTCTTTTGCTTCTATTCCTCTCTCTTAGCCTAGATAAATGAGAGATGACTGCATGACTCATTCTAAAAGAATGATCTAGGTGTCAATTTATTCCTTATGTAATTTTCAGTAGATGAGTCTACGTACATCAATGCGTAGTTTAAAAAATAAAAGGGAGCACGAATCCTAACAATTATTTCACATTTGCTTTCCTTTTAATTTGGCAACAGGCTCTGAAGCAGAATTATAATGGCTGAATGTTTCTGGCTGGCTCTTTCCCTAGTAAAAGGCAAATAATAAGAACCAGAATATGGAAACTAAATTGTTTGCTTTTACTAAAAAGGTAAACATTTTTCTCCCAAGTGACTTTGATGAAAACCAAAACACATTATAAACAAGCCTGCCAATTATCACACCTTGCCCTTTATGCCCCTGTTCCCTGCCAATGCACGTGCTTCCAGACAGACAAAGGACATGGACCACAATGTGCAATCCCCTCCAGCAGAGCTGGTTGCCATTAGCGATGAGAGGCGCCTGCCTCACAATCCCCTCTGACAGCCAGGGCAGGTGGGACTTTCTGCATCTTTGTCAGACTCTCAGTGTCCTAATGTGAAGGGATGGCTTAGGGCCTTTTAAACAGCTATTTTACTTGTGCTGAATACTAACAGCAATTCCAGAAGAAAAAGATAATTCTGAGTAACTATTTTGGGATTTATAGCTTTTTTTTCTATTTTACATAAAAGCTTGGATTTATAAAACCCAGGAATTGTACAATTATAAAAGATGGCTTATTATGTAGATGCAGTTGAGACAATGATAACAATATTAAAAGATCCCACTGACTGAACATTACTACGTAATTATGGGTCAGGAAAGTTATTTACGTTTTTCAAATCCTCATTAGGTTTTATCATCCTCATTTTGCAAACGAGGAATGTGTGTTCAGAGAAGTCAAATCACTTGCCTGTAGTCACACAGTCCTTGAGTGGCTGGACTGAACCCGGATGCCACAGCCTTCAGAAAGAAGATTGAGTGTTTTGATAAAGGGCACCCTGAAAGACAGCTGTTTATAATTTCTTTTCTTTTTTTTCTGCTTAGGGATCTCTCTGAAAATGTGAATCTTTTGGGTCTCTTTTCTCTTCAGTAGAAGTGCTTCCTGGATCTTGACTAAGAAGGCCTGGCTGAAACCCTTCTCAATAATCATTCTGCCTTTCACCCTATGGGCTCTGCAGAAGTCTCCCATGGCCCCGGTCATCACACAGGAGTATGACCCCAGACCCCTTGTTACCTCAGCACCTTCACCGTCTCCATCCACTGTGCCTGCTCACTCTCCCAGGGATCCACCTGGATCCAGTTGGATGTCTGCAGGGCCAGATGGGCCATGGCCACTCGGTGATGGGAAGGTGCAAGGTCTTTCTTCCCATAGCTGTCGTTGACAGGAGAGATGATGCCCTGGACCACCTGGTACTTTCCTAGGCAAGGGAGAGCAGTGATGTTACACATATGGATAGATGCTTGCTGCCTGGCAGCTGAATTCAGGCAGGTGCTAAAAATCTCATGCCTCTTGATGAGAGCAGTTGCTGGCATTCTCTCTGGGGGTGGGGGTTTTCCTTAGGCAAGAGTAAAGTCACTACTTCAGTGATCACATGCTTCCCCTCTAGAGTCTTCTACACCTGGGAGTGGCATTTCTCATGAGAGGATGGCCGTGAGGGTAGAGATCAGGCAAGGGTTCCCTATAGCAGAGTGGACAGTTAGGGTCAGAATGTGCCTGAGGAACATCATGACTGCCCTTTGAGGCACTTAACAGGAGCACTAGTCTTCTCTTCTAAATATGTGTACAACAATAGTTATAGTAGTGTCTAAGCCTAAATAGAAATTTTAAGTATGAAAGATGAAGGGCTAGGATTTAGCATCAGCTAGGGTTGGTGGATGATGGGCTGTAGGTGAATTTTGCAGGCCACCATTGACTTTGGAAGAATATGGTGCCAGTGAGATGGTAAGATCTACTTTGGAACAGATATGGGCTCTGCTGATTAGCCATGAAAACTGCCTTATACATCTCTTGAACCTACATGAGATTTATCTGATGCGAGATTAACTTTAAATATGGTAAGCCCTTGAAATTGGAAGATTTATTATCAGAGCTAGCCTACTCTGCTGTGGCAAATATGTTACTTTAAGAGACGTTCCCTATTATTCCTAGTCTGAGAGCTTTTGTCATAAATGAATATTGAACTTTATCAAATTTTTTTGTAACTTAAAATGATTGTGTGAGTTTCTCCTTTAGTCAGTTAATACAGTGAATTGTGCTGATTCATTTTCTAATCTTAAACTAACATTGCATTCCTGAGATGGAACCAACTTGGTTGAGATAATATTTTTTTAATGTATTGGGTGGGTTTGCTTTGCTAATTTTTTATAGAAAAAAAGATACATCTATATTTTTCCTTTCTCTTAACTATCCTAGTCAGGTTTTGGTATCAAGGTGATACTGGCCTTAAAAATGTGTTGAAGAATTCCCTCTTTCTCTATGCTCCAAGAAAGCTTGTGTGTAGGGCTAAATTAAGTATTTCATAGAACTCATCAGTGAATCTTATGAGGCTAGAGTTTATGTTATGTGAAAAATTTTGATTACTGATTTCTTTCTTGGTTATAATTCAGAATTTTTTATAATTTTGGCAACTTATACTTGATAGGATTTTGTGCATTAGATATAAGATTCGAAATCTATTGGCATAAGGTTCTTTACAGTTTTCACTTATCTCTGTGAATATTTTTTGAATTCTTAAAAAAAATGTACATTCTGCTGCTGTCAGAGAGCACCACACATACCAGTTACAGCTGTTGCTGATTGTGTTGTTCATTCCTTCTATGTCCTGGCTGATTTTCTGTCTAGTAGTTTTATATACTAGGAGTAATTGCCAAGAGTAGGGTATTGAAGTCCCCACCTATAATTGTGAATTTCCCTGTTTTGTTTTTCACCTTTATTGGATTTGCTTCACCTATTTTGAGACCTATTGTTTGATGTGCAATTTAAAAGATTACTATGTTTTCTTAATGGGCCTTTATCAAACTTTAAATTTTCTTTTAGTCATCATTTTTTAGAAATTCTGAAAGGTTCTTCATCACATCTGGTGAGTCATGTTTTATAGTTTCCTTTGTCTTCAAGTGTAAACGTAACTTTTAAAATCTGTATCTGATAATGCACATTTCAAAATTAGAACAGGTTATTTCTGCTGTCTGTTGTTTCTACTAGTTCTTAGTCATATTGTTTTCTTTTGTGCTTAGTTATTTTTGAATAGTTGCTGGTCAATGACCTGATTTGTAAGGGCTCCTCCAAATCTAAGATATGAACATTCTAAGACAGACTGTGTCCATTATTTCACTTCCATGAAACACAGTCAATAGTGTCCATTCTGATTCACACGTCCAGGTTTTAACTTGCTCGGCTTGTTGGTGTTGCTGCGGGGGCTTCATTTGTTTCCATCCATGTGGCTTTTACATTGTGTGTCTCAAAATTTTTATAACGACTCACGTAGATATGCCTTCCTCCAGGGAGCCTTCATGTTTGTTATTGTCAGGCACTGGAGTTATTAAAAGTCATGGATGAACTTGAAATCAAGTTCCCAGCTTGAGCTACTTTGACTAATACAAGCTGAGGGTGACAAATCTGAGCAAGGACCCATGTGCCTTTTCTTCATAGGATATTTTATCCTTTTGTTTTTCTTCTCCTGCTTGTCCAACACTAAGGCATCAAGCCTTCTCTGAAGTCTTCTAGAATTAGGGAGGTGGGCTGAAACCTACTTTACTCTGGCCCCCAGGGTGTAGTTCCTTGGAAAGGGGTGCATCTTGGCTCGGCGCCTATAGCTCAACCGGC